CATATCACATCTTAAATTTCAAAGAAAGGCGTTTAAACGTTAGCATCACACTCCGGGTCTTGAGCCCTGGTACCTGACTGAGAAGAAAAACACACTCCTGTACATGCAGGTGTGCAGACACACACACACACACACACACAAAAACAGACACACTCATAGCAAGCAGTCAGTGGCTTAAAAGTGGTGACCTCCCCCTGAAAAATTAAAAAATGTAAAATGTCACTCCTCCATTCCGCCCTCCGAACGAGAAAGAAGACAAACCAGGTCTGCCCGCTGCAGAGTGAGCTGCTAGAACAGACTTTGCATCGAATGACCTGAGACCTGAGCACACACTCCCCGGTCCCGAACCGGACGACTGACAGGTCAGGGTAGGAGCCCCGTCCCCACTTCGGCCCGGTCCACACCAGCCGGGCCGGGTCCGCGCCGCGACCTCCCGGCGCGCAGGGCTGCCAGGTCCGCGAGTCGGCCCGCTCCCGGCCACGCGGCTCCCGGAGCAGGGGCCTCCGGAGCCCCCCAAAGCCCACGACTCCGACGAGGGGTACCGACGGGGCCGTGGACGCTGGCACTTAAAAACCACCGAAAAGTCTCGCTGCCCCAGGGGCGCAGCGGCGAAGGCCGGTGCCGCTCTGCGTCGCCCGGTGCCGTCCCCTCGGTCGGGGCCCGGCGGCCCGGGCGACCCTCGGCGGCGTCGCGCTCAGCTCCCGGGCGCGTGGGAGAGCCACCACAGGGCCGCCGCGGCCGGTCCCCGGAGAAGTCCACCGCAGCCGTGCCTTCTCCCCTTAGCGACCATTACCCGGAGGCTTCTGGCGTTTCCTTCGAGAAAATGGGGGGAAAAGATTTCTTTCACGAGCGTCGAGGCGCTGCAAGTCGCTGTCCTGTTCCGTCGAATGAGATCCCCCTCGACTCCATCCCGTAAGCGGCGTTTCCAAACTCCGAGGCATCCTCAGCGGAGGTTTTGCATGTTGACAGATCTCTCGCCTCCCACAAAATGGGGCCGCGGCGGCGGCCGCCGTCTCCTCTATGGGGGGCCCCCATTTTTTTTGAGGGGCCGAAAGAAGCGGGGGGTTTTTAAAAGTTTAAAAAAAAAGTACCCCCCCTTAGGGGAATCCCCGGGCGTGAAGGTACGAAAGGGGGGTGGGCCAAAAAGCCCGGCGTCTAAGGAGAACCCCAAGGGCCAGGCCCGGGGGGGGTTGCGACCCAAAATGGGCCCGGCGCCCCCCCGGAATAAATGGGGGGGGGCCCCCCTCTCAACCCTGCCCCTTTTGGGGCAGGGGGGGGGGTGGATTTTTTTCTGTAGGGAAGATTTTACTTGTTGTCAATGTGGG